TTCCACAATCTATATCATTGTACTTCATCCTCTTAAATATTTCATTATATATTCATATTTTAATTCAATCCTATCGAATTCCAACATCAATACTTTCAGTCATTTTTTAACTTTTATTTTGGCCGTGCAACTCACGGGTTCGAGTCTAGTGTTTTTTAAAAAGGACTCAATTATTTTATCATATTAATATACCAAGGTCCATAATATTAGGATGGGTAATAGGACGACGTAACAATTTTCCTCAATAAAAGTTTCAAATCACTCCCCCCCACAAAAAAATTCAATTAATAAATAAGATGCATTTTTTACCTTTAAATCAATGTCATAGGAGTATTTGATGTAAAATTAAAACATACAAAATATTTTAAAAATTAGATTAAATTATGAGTAAATTCTTTAAATGATCCTTTATATCTGGGGGGTTTCCATATTTAGTCCTTATTTACCAATTATTTGTAAGTTCAAGGGGGCGCAACGGAAATCACCAATTAAGAGCTATGCAAACAAAACAATCAACTATGTTGTAGAGAATATTCTGCAACACTATCACAGTAACAGATGACTGACAGAGTACTATAACACCTTCTCATTCACAAGCACACACGTAAAATATAAAGTAAAAACAGCAAGCAAGACACCTGAATTGTTCACGCAGTTTGGAGCAAATTCTCCTACGTCTGCAAGGCCCACGTCCGTGTAATAGCCCTTCCACTAAATCACCATAAGAAGTACACAATCAATCACAACAGAACCTTCTAATGTATTGATTTGTCTACTTACGAATGACTTGACGACAAACTCGGTTTGCGTCTATCCCCACGGCTTGTTACACCTTCTCAAAGATCTTCTTCAAGGACGTAGATTCCAATACACCTTTAAATAAAGATTCTCCTTGATCTACAAAAATATGCAGGCTGTTCCGAAGCTCATAAATCGAGATTGAACCGTTGAAATTCGATCTCCACTGTTCATATTGAAGCTCCACGAGTCCTTAGACTCCTCCCAAAATTTCAGCACGATCAGACAAGATTTGGTACTCCAACCATCGAGAAAACCAGGGCAGTGTTTTCTGCAAAAAATTAGCAACAATGTGTAGATTGTAACTTCAATAACAGAAGATCCGTTACTCCGATTGACGTGAAATGTGAACACGTTGAATCCCTATGTGTTGGGAACACTCTCTGAAAATTTCAGCAAAATCCAATGGTTGGATCTCCGACGATGATCAAATCTGTGCGGGCTGTCTAGAAACTTTGCACTGTCAAACTCTGCACCTTGTTCTTCCTATTTTCGGATTTGCTTCAATAGTTTCGTATTTTTCCACCACACAACTCTAAGGGAGGGAGAAGATAATATATAGAGATTATTAACCTTGTTAGAGTGTGCTTAGGAGTCTCAACCATGCCTTCCTCCTCAAGAATAGTAAACTATGTAAGATTAGAATTCAAGTAGGATTAGAATTCTCTCTTCAAGCTCTTTCCTCTTTCTCTTCCTTCACATGCTAGGACTCTAATTCAAAATAAAACATCTAAAATAATTCTAGATAAATCTATTCGTTTGTCAAAAAATAATGCCAACACAATATGGAACTAACATTATTAAATTTGTAGTCTTTACTAATTGGGTACCATGCCACAAATGGTCCTCCGTTTCTTTTTCTATCACACTGCAGTTAAATGGAGGGCAATTAGGTTATTTCACATTTTTTCTCCCTCCAACACCATTATCCCTTTCCTACGAAACCTTCCGTCAAAATTAGCTAGAGTCTACTTCTTTTTAATTTTGAATTCTCAAACACTAATTGGTTATTGAACTCAATTCTAATTTTGAATTTGAGCTCTCAAACATGATTAGGCTCTGTATTTGTTAGTATTTTTTTTGGAAGACCTCCCGACCATTGCAAGAAATAAACGCAACCCTGAGTGAAAGTACATTATTAGCCCTCTTTATAACATCATAAAAACTAGTGTATACCTCAAATTTTTTCAAAATATTTAAATTTAAAAAAGACTTTGACCTTTCAATTTCAAATGTGTATTGCAGAAAGTTAATTAGTAAGGGGCTGTTTGTTTCAGCCTCTTAATGGTTCAGATGTCTGAATGATTCAGCACTTAATGGTTCAGACTGTTTGTTTCAGCCTCTTAATGGTTCAGATGTCTGAATGGTTAAGAGATTTACCTCTGAATGATTAAGTATTATACAGAGTCTGAATGGTTAAGAGCTTTTATCTGAATTGATCAGACATTTGCCTTTGAATAGTTAAGCAATATACTAGCTCTTAATGATTCAGACCTCTTACTGGTTCAGCACTTAATGGTTCAGACCTCTTACTGGTTCAGCACTTACATATTCAGAAGTTACCAAACAGCCCCTAAATGTTTCATGTCTTATCATTAATTTAGCGTTTAAGGTTGATATTTTATTTTGTTCTATATTTGAAAAATGATGGAGAAAACCAAAATTGTAAAATAAAAAAAAATGTTTCACCCCGTGCATGACACGGGTTAAAATGCTAGTATATGTAAAGTTAAGTTTATTTGTTGTAGTGTTGACATGTGGTATGCCACATATGCATCCACATGCACACACATTAATGAGGTGCATTTCACAATGCCTGAACCTCAAGAGGGATTTCACTCATATGCATCCACTATTTAGAAGAGTTGATATTAGAGCAAGCCATGATTTGGAAACGCACCTGAACCTCAAGAGGGATTTCACATGTAGCCGCGTGAGAATTTCCACGATGAGTTTTGGTGGCAAATTAAGGGTTGAAAATCTGCAGCGTTTACACCGCCTTGGGAGTGGATGCAAGGCTTCCTCTCCCCCAGATTCCACTAGCTTTTGCAGCAGGTCCAATTCTACCCACACTATACGGAGAGTCTGTTCTATAGGACTTAAACTCTTAACTTTCAGTCTGTTCTATAGTTTCTTCCCATTCTTCTAGTTCTTCCAGTTCTTCTAGTTTCTTCCAGTTTCTTCAACTATTCTCATCTTTTCAAACTCTTTCTACTTCCAAGCAAATAATCTAAAAACGATATATTTTTAATTTGATTATTAATATTATTATTACAACTCTAATGTTCATAACTATAGTTTGTAAATTATTTTTTCATCTCACTATTTTTACAATTTACACTCATTATTTTTCTTCAACTTTTTAATATGAAGAAGAAATTTTTTTTGTATATTAATCTACATGATAAAACACGAAAGCATCCATATTTTAAACTATATTAAAAAATTATGGATAAAGTAGTTACATAGAATGTTTTATTAATCTAACTTTATATAAGGCCCCCTCACGTTTCTCAATATTATTTAATTTTTTCACATTTTTCTAATTTTCATAATAAAAAAAAATTGAAACACAAAATAGTTTGGAGAAACGACCCAAAAACCGGCTTAGAAGTTAGCTGTTATTTTAATAAAAAATAAATAAGGAATTTATTTACTCAAAAATATGAATTATATGTAAACTTGTCCGTTTTCAATAAAAATTAGATTTTCGGGTAGGTCTTGTAAAATGGTGACCAACGATATATAATGTGCTAAATTTGGGCATGCGTGTAAAACGTGGTGAGTAAAATAGAAATTACGGTTCAATAATTAAATATAAAGATTTTATAATTAAAATAGTAATATTATCCTACCACGAGTTGGTATATGGTACATCCGGATGTACCTAGAAATAGGTACATCCCGGCAGTACTCATTCTGAAATAAAGTAGTACTCATTCTCGTACAAATATAAACATTCATTTCGAAATACGTAGTACTCATTCTGGCAAAGGTAGTACTCATTTTAAAATAAAGTACTCATTTTTACACATTTGTCTAATATAATTATACTACCTCCGTCCCAGAGTATTTGTCCACTTTCATTTTTACACACCATCCAATACACTTCTTTAATCCATTTTATCTTGTAATTTGTATATTAAAAAATTATAGAAATTATATATTAATAATCTATATGTTAAAACAAATCAAACAAGATCACACATGACTATATTTAGGCTTACACATTGAGAGAATTTGATGAGTCAAAGTGCTTAGATTAACAGTTCCAAAAGTCAAAAGTGGACGAATACTCCGGGACGAAGGAAGTAATAAATAGCGTAGTGTTCATTCTTAAAAAACAATACTCATTCTCAAATAAGGAAATGTTCTGTACCATCATCAATTCTTCCTCTATTCTATTCGTTCCTACTCATTTATACTCTCTGAGTATGAAGAATTTAAAACCCAGGTTTATTCATGTTTGTATTAAATAAGAATATGATAGTTCTCATAAGTGCGGGTACTCCTTCTCAAATCTGCTGGTACTCATTGTCATATATAATACTTCTCATATATGTTTTGGACATTGGATCAAAAGTTTGCAAAATTTATAAAAATACTAAGCTGTACCTAAAGGAAGGTACAGCGGGATGTACCATATAATTTGCCTCCTACCACTACTATTGCGAATCGGAAAAGGAGAACAAGAAAGAGGAGTTGGTATATGGTACATCCGGATGTACCTAGAAATAGGTACATCCCGGTAGTACTTATTCTGAAATAATGTAGTACTCATTCTCGTACAAATATAAACATTCATTTCGAAATACGTAGTACTCATTCTAGCAAAGGTAGTACTCATTTTAAAATAAAGAAGTACTCATTTTTACACATTTGTCTAACATAATTATAATAAATAGCGTAGTGTTCATTATTAAAAAAACAATATTCATTCTCAAATAAGGAAGTGTTCATTCTGAAATAAAGTATTGTTCAATTTTTTCACAATTAAAAAGTTCAGTACCATCATCAACTTCTTCCTCTATTCGATTCGTTCCTACTCAATTATACTATCTGAGCATGGAGAATTTAAAACCCAGTTTTATTCATGTTTGTATTGAATAAGAATATGATAATTCTCATAAGTGCTGGTACTTCTTCTCAAATCTGCTGGTACTCATTGTCATATATAATAGTTATCATACATATGTTCTGGACATTGGATAAAAAATTTATAAAATATACAAAAATACCAGGATGTACCTAAAGAAAGGTAGCTGGATGTACCATATAATTTGCCCAAGAAAGAGCTCTCAATAATAATGGAAGCAGAAGTTTCTCTCTCCAAGCTCTCGCCATGAACAGTGCCGCGCCAAGGAGATTTGCTCCTCTTCCATCGATTCTAGCTCATTTCATCGGATTTTTGGAACCTTGGGTCTGCCTTCAGCTGGTGAATCCGATTATGAGGTATCTTCGCTGATTTTGGTAAGGAATTCTTGAACAATTGGAAGTCAACGGCAATCTTCATTCGAATTTTTGTCTCTCTAATTCATGTGGATCCGGACACTTTTGATAGCTAATCTTCTGGTATTTTGAGCGATTTGCAATCCCCTTCCTCCTTATGAAGGTGGATTTCAATTTCATATGAATTTCCTTTCGGTTTGGGGTGTTTTTGGGTTTCGTATCTACTTTTCACAGCGAGAATTGGGACTGCGTATGTATTACCTTCATGCTTGTTTTTTGACCAACTTTTTGTGGATTCTTGGCTGGCATTTAGAGAGGTTGTTTATGTATTAAAATGACCTCTTTTGAGCTACGTTTTGGTTATGTAACTTATGGTACAAGCTGATGTTCTTGCTGTGAATGATTCCTACTGTTTTTGTGGAGTGTGTGTACTTGTGCTGGCTTTTTGCTTTGATGTCCATTGAATTGTGTTGCTTCAGTTGATGCACCTAGCAATATGGCATTATCCCCCTACCCCCCTAATGGTTATGGAAGAGCCAAGAGGGGAGATTGTGGTGTGGAGGGAAGGGCCAATGCTTGAAGGAAAAGACTAAGGCATGCTATCCATGGGCAGACTTGGCAAATTTTGGGTTGGATTGTGGTTTTTTCCTGCTGTGTTTTACCTTTGGGCTTGGCCACGTTGAATTGGACAGTGGGGAACTGCTGTACCCCAATTTTGCAATGATTTTGGTGGACTTGAATAACTATTGTTGCTTTGAATATTACGGATGATGGGACAGTGAATTGTGGGTTGGTTTGTTGATGTTCATTTGCTGTTGTTATCCTCTGTTGGGGCTGTTGGACCTGGGCATACCCTTCTTTTAGCTGGATTATGAAGCCTAAAGGGCATTTGTGGCACTGCTCTTTCGGGCTTCAAGGGGCTGTGATGGTTTGTGGCCTTGGAGTCAATGCCACGCTGGACCTTAAGATGACTTTGCACGGGGTATCTTGCTGCTGAAGGCTGATGAGTATGGCTCTGGGCAGCTTTTGAGGGAAACTTCAGTCATGGAAATTTGTACTTTTGGGCACGCTATTGGGGCAGATCCTACCTGCCTAACTGTCCTTTGCTTAGATATATGACTTGGCTTGAAATTGGAGCTCAAAAGGTGTGAATTTGGGAGAGAGCTGGCTGGACAGTGGGTTTTATATGCTGCCATTGATGGCTGGGCAGTGGGCAGGCTGCATTTGAACGGAAACTGCCCATGGACAGCCTTTGGGCAGGTTTTGCTTCATGTTTGGAGGTAAAGCAAGTGCTTTGGGGTTGGGTATATGGAGCTGCTGGTCAGAATTTTGGGGTTTTAACTTCAGAGTTGAAGTTTGTGGGTCTATTGCCAACCATGCCTGGTTCGTCTTGATCCTTTCGGTTGGGGGATGGGAAGACTATGTTGGTCCTACTCGGGTTCACTAGTTCCCTGCCTATCTACTTTTTGTGTCTGAACTCAAACCGAGGGCAATAAGTAGGTGGAGGCATAAAGGGGAACTAAGTGAACTCATGCCTTATCAGAAGATAATTGCCAAATTCCATTGCCGTCTCTGAACGGCCGAGTGGTTTGCTCTGGTCACTTTGGCGTCAAGTTTGTCTTCTTTGATGAAGGTGGACAACCTCTTACGCTCGAGCCTAGGCCTTCTTGGTATACCGATGGAATCCTAGCACTCTTCTCTCTTGGGGTTTGTTCCCTAATCTCTCTTGGATTGGTGATGGCTTTGATAAATGCTTTGGGCTGATTTTTGAAGCACATTATTTGATGATTTTGATTGATGACTGAATTTTGATATGATTGTCCTTCTAGAGGGAGTATGTGTGTTTGGGGTGTCTACCTTCAACATATGCTCCCTTGATGCTCTGGTCTCGGCCTACCATACTTCGTTGTACGGGAAGCTGGTGGACTTCACAAGAGCCTAGACGTGGGATCCTCTTGGATGTGTTGACCATATTGATGTTTGCTTTTGGTTGTTTGTTTTGTATTGCGTGTGTGCCAAGCGTGTGATTGTTTATTTGTACGGCCTGTGTGCCAAGTTGTTGTATTATCGTACTGTTGTATTCATTTCATGCACGGAACCATTTCTATGGTTCGGCATATAACATTGATGTACCGTTCTGATTTGGGGTAATAATAATTTACTACCTCCGTCCCAGAGTATTTATCCACTTTCATTTTTAGACACCACCCAATGTACTTCTTTAATCCATTTTATCTTGTAATTTGTATATTAAAAAATTATAGAAATTATATATTAATAATCTATATGTTAAGACAAATCAAACAAGATCACACATGACTATATTTAGGCTTACACATTGAGAGAATTTGATGAGTCAAAGTGCTTAGATGAACAGTTCCAAAAGTCAAAACTGGACGAATACTCCGGGACGGAGGGAGTACACTTTACCAT